ACAGTGAGTTCCAGGCCAGCCTAGGCTACATATTGACACTTTGTCTAACAGTCTAAATAAATAAATTACTTAATTCAAATTGATATTTTTAATATATATGTTAATTATACATAATTATTTATATAGCCACCTGGAGCTAATAGCTACCACGGTGGATGGCTCTAGAGTATGAGAAAATGTCCTGGCCCAAGGGAATGAAGGTCAAGATAACAGATGTCAGGAGACTCTGCCCAGCCAAGATACACCCCAGTCCTGCCTGAGGCTCTAAGTGCCCCCACCTCTAGCTGCTCTCTCAAGGCCGAGCCCTCTTCTAAGTTACACTCCCTCCCTGCCTGACCTCCAGGTTCACATTTACCTCTTTCTCTGCCTCCTTGAGCTCAGCTTCCTTCTCTTTGACTCTCTGGACGAACATCTGCCTCATCTCCTCTTCTTTTTTCTGGAGCTCCCCTAGGAACTCATTCCTTTTCGCCTCATATGTCTCCTGTAAGCTGCAAATGCAGTCAGGTTAATTTCCTCTGCCTTCAGGGAGGCTCCTGGTCAATGAAAACTGGCCCTAACCATCCTCTTTGAATTCCCTCATCCTCTGTTCCTTAATTCTAACAGAGATATGTAAAAAAAGAACTACAAAGTGGGGGGCAGCTGGCTTGGCACACAACAGCAGTACACACAGGGTTATTGGAGGAGGTCAGAGGAGCCCTGGTGAACTGGACACCTTCTGGAAATCTAATTCTACTCTTGTTTTACAGATGAGGAAACTGGGGCCCATAGAGGCGAAGTGATTCACTCAAGGTTGTACACCTAGTTAAAGATAGAGCTGGAACCTGAATCTGGGTCTCCTGTCTTTTCGTTTGGGCCCTTCCTCGCACTGTACTGTGCTGCTAAGCCCTGGTTCTGAAACTGATCACATCAATTTACCACTTCATCAAACACTTGCTGAGATTTTACCACATGCACAATATGGAGTGAAATGTCCAGATGCTAGTCACTCAGCATCTAGAGTCCACAGCCACCATGTGTATCCTAAAGGAATTTAAGGTCTAATTGGAGATGCTTGGACTAAGGTCCTTGGCCCTGGCCTGCACTTATTGTTTTAAAAGTAGGAGTTAAAACAGAAGAAATGTGCTCCAAAGAGAGCAATGCATGGGAAGACACAAGTGGAGAGAGTGTGGTGTTCCTGGGGAGGCAGCCATAACTGAACAGGGCTGAAGGTATCGTGTAAACCAGGGAATAGTGGGAGGAGAGGCTCCTGAGTTTAGAAGTGGACAGGCAGTGGATGCTACGCTAAAGAAGTGGACATGTATACACTACGTGGTTCTCAGCAGGAGGATTGACTGGGTCCAGTAAGACCTCAAGAAAGACCACAGGCTATTCCATGAAGGAAACTTTCCAATACTCCAAGTAATTAGTGACAAGAACTCCATGTTAGGGACTCGTAGGGAATAGAGAGAGCTGGAGGAACAATAAGGGCAGCAGAACTCCCATAACTTAGGAGAAAACAAAGCTGATTGTGATCATCTCTCCACAGAGAAGCCCACATCCAACATTCTTGAGTATATCTTACTTTCTTCCTAGCGTCTTTCTTTCTCTTAACCCTACTGCTTAATAAACTCAAAAAATCCTTAATAAACTCAAAAAAGCTGATTCTGGCTTGGATCACCAGGTGGATGGTGGAACCATGAATCAGGACTCTTAGAGAAGGAGGGAAAGGAAGAAGGTGAACTAGATGGTCAACCACTAGAGCTTCACATTGGGCCTCTGTGAGATGCTTAAGTGGAAATGTCTAGTATGCAGTTGCATCAATGGATTCAGAGTGGAAAAGTAAAATTTGAGCTTGGGACTCATCAATTTCTGGGTGGTAATTAGGACTCTGAGAATAGGAAGAACCAGAGCAAAGAGACTGGAGTGGAGAGTGAAAGAGCAGAGAGACCCATGGAAGGAATCCAAAGGGAGCACCAACACTTAAAAGAGAAAGCTGCAGAAAATGAACCTGTAAGTGAAATTGAGAAGGAATAAAGAGACAGAGGGAGGGAGAAAGCCAGGCCAGGCCAAAGACAGAGGGTATCTCAAGAGAGCCAGTGGAGAGTAATGTTTCACGTTGAGAGCAGCTCTGAGCCTCGGAGAATAGCCCTTCTGTGGAGAGCTGGGGCAGAAGCCAGACTGTACTGGGTTGAGGAAGTAAGTGAGAGAGGAGGAAGAGGAACAAAAGATACAGAACTGTTTTTCCATCCTCTCAGAGACAAACCTCTTGACAGGGGAGGAGCTGGCAAAAAGAGTAGGGCTAAGAGAGAGTTTCGTTAGGTGGGAATGATAACAGACAAGGCAGACAGGGACCGGCGGAGGAGTGAAGATGCAGAAATAGAGGCATTCATGATGGAGCAAAGGAGGAAAGGCCAGGACGGACTGGCCAGCTAGAGCCATGCTTCCTCCTTCACCATGCAGATGAAAGCTGTGAGGTGAAGGAAACAACCAAGGAACTCGCACTGAAAAGAGAAGCTTGCTTTCCCCCAGCCCAGTAGCTCTGGACCCTGACACTACTGTGCATAGAGAATGGGAGGCTGGCACTCCTAAAGGAGCTATCCTCAAAGGACTGCTTGTGCAGTGTCCTAGGCCAGCTTTCTGCTGTGAGCAGGATCCGTGGGGTCCCAGAGGCCATTTGAAAGCCTTCTCCTCCTGCAGATATCCCCTCTGCTTGCTCATGGATGTCTGAAATTTCCTAAAAGCAAATGGAGCCACAGTAAAGGGCACCACATGGTAATTTAAAATGCAGGGCTTATGACAAGTATTGTATATATAGATCAGATGCTTCTACTTGGTCTATCCCTCCCATCTGCATAATGAAAAGCATCTTAGATTCTGATATGAGAAATATACCAAGAGAGTATTCCATTTTCAGTGGTCAAAACAAACCTCTCACTGAAATGCAAAGATGGTGAATAAAGAGTCACCTCAAGGTGACTGCTTCCTGGTCACCTTTTTTTTTTTATCCCCGCCCATCCCCATTTGGTGCTGGGGATGAACTCAGGGCCTGAGCATGCTTATGAAAGGACTCTACCACCAAGTCACATCCCTACTTAGCCTTCCTATTGCATTTCTTTTTCTTATTTATTTATTTTTTTGCGGGGGGAAGACATGATCATGCTATATAACCTTGGCTACTCTGATACTTGCTAGGTAGCCCAGGCTGGCCTTGAAATCCTGGCAATCCTTCTACTTCAGTCTTTAAGTGCTGAGATTATAAGCATATACTACTATGCCTGACATTTCCTATCTGGTCTTGAGAAAAGGCAGGAGGGGAAAGAATAGACTGGAAACCCGTCTGATTACCAGGAGCCAGATGAAGAATGTGGGGGCAGAGAGAGGGTAATTGCTAAATGCCACCTTGTGGAAAAAGTCTCAGCTCAGGGTCTCTGAATGACTGACTAGAGCAGCTGTGTATGGTGCAGGGGGAGGGGAACAGTGAGAGATCAGCCGAGCACCTCTATGGGCCCCCTTTAGCCCATGCTCTTCTAAGCAAGGGTGGCAAGCTGTCTTGGCAGTTGTGCAGACCCAGAGAGGGAACAGCTAGGCAGAACTGGTAAACAGTTACCCTTGTCCCTCTAGTTAGCCCCCATGCCTCTCCTCCCCTGACAATTCTCCAGGGCAATGCTTTCTGAGCTGGCCCAGGCTGGCCCAGTGGGAGTGGTACCTGAAGGGTTTGCTGTCAGGGTCGGTGTCCTTGAAGCCCATCTCCTCCAGCTTACAGCGACGGTACAGTTCATAGTGCCGGGTGTGGGTCTGCTCCCGCAGATCCTCCATGTTGACCCGAATCAGCATCTCCCGAAGTTTCACAAAGTCGCAGTGGGCCTCGTTATCAACTGTATAGTAGGGGTTGGGGCATTGAAAGGAAGGCCAGCAGAAGCAGAAATGGATGAAGTGAGAAGTAAAATGTCTAACAGTGACATTGCCTTGCAGCCTGTATACATAGAGCCTACAAATTTAGCTCTTAATTCCATTTTCTAAAAACGGTAATACTGTAAAAATATCTAAGAACTTTTAGTAGCACCTCAACACAAATTGACCAAATAGACCTTCACAGGGGCATCTGCTCTCTGCTGCTTTGTGGATGACAACACATGCACATCCATTTGTCCATCCACCCAATAAATATTTGTAGAATCTTTGTTCTCAATATTGCATGTAGCCCGGGAAATTCAGAAATGAAGATTTGGCAGTATGCTTTTAAGAACTTGTAGCTTAGTGGGAGACCAGGATAACACAATGCCAAAGTTACAAAAATGGAGATATGATTGAGATGCAATGAAAGCCCAGAAGAGGGAGACCCACAAAACTCCTGGAAGAGTGTAGGCTTACCCAAAGAGAAAACTTTTTGGATGATTCTGGAAGGAAGAGTAGAATTTGTCAGGCAGATTATGAAACATAACCCTTACAAGGTCTCCAGGAGTCTAGGCAAAGTTACAAAGCTAGTAAGTTGCAGTTAGGCTTCAAACCTGGATAATGTAGGGGAGAGGCAAAGACCATGTATGACCAAGTCAGTGAATCTCCAAAGAGCAAGGAGAAAGAACTAGAATAACAACGGATGACAGGGACAAGGAAGGGTGGACTTCAGGTGTGGCCCATGTGGGTGGTAGAAGCTTCTAAGGAAGTGTTTTGCAAAAGGTGAGTAATGGCTTGACAGAAGTAATGATAAGCAGGAGAAAGTGGGTACTATTTATTTTAGCTTCAATGGAGTGTGGGCAAAAGGCTACATTTTGGGTAGTAGACAAGAATGAGAGAGATGTGGAGTAAGTCATAGCAAAGTAGCTTTTTGGCCAGGGCAATGTTGCAAGCAGGGCTCTGTCAAGGTGTCTCCAGGCCGGGCTCCACTGTGTTAGAGGGGTGGATGGTGATGTCTGAGATGAGCAGAAAAGCCATCCCAGATTCTGTATCACAGAGTGTGGGATAAGACAATGGAAACAGGAGGGGGTATGGAATGACAGAGTTGGGCATAGTTGCACCATCATAGGTGGTTAGATGTGATCATCAGAAATATTTTTCCAAAGCTCAAAGTGGCCCATATACCTTCTCTCTTTAAGGTCCATTGCATTCACAAATGAATCCTACCTGTTGTCATAGAACAACTAATAAAAAAAAAAAACAAGCTACATGCAATCTGCTTCTCCAATGCTAGACAGTGATCCCTGGTTAGAAGGGATGATTCCAGAGCCAGGCATGGTGGTGCACATGTGTCATTCCATCACTAGAGAGGTGGAGGCAGGAGGATCAGGAGTTCAAGTCTAGCTTCACCTACATAGTGAGTCCAAGGCCAACCTGGGCTACATGAGACCCTGTCTCAAATGGAAAAAAAAAATAGAAGGAATGATTCTAAAGCCTCTGTAGCCTTCCCAAGGAATAGTCAACTTCTTCCACATTCAAAAAGAATAGTCAACTCAAGTACAAGAGAGACTCAAAAAAACTGGTTTAGATTAAGAGCAGGGTAGTCCAAGTTGGAGGAAGGAAGTCATTGGAACCACTGTGCTGGCTTGTCTCCTCCCACCTCAGGTTCCTGTCTCTTAAGCCACAAACTTATTCCAAAGATATGACAGTTGGTCCAGAAGTGTAAGATTCCTAGCCCCAAATGGCAGAGAAGAGCAAAACTTACCACAGCCCTGACAACCAGTCTTATCTTAGTTATGGAACACTCAGATGGGGAATGTAGCTCAATGAGACAGTGTTTCCTTAGCATGTATGAGGCCTAGGTTCGGTTTCTAGCACTGTAACAAAGAGAAACTGGGGATATAGCTGAGTGGTGGAGTGCTTGCCTAGCATTAGCATGCATGAGACCTTGTATCCCATCCCCAGCATTTCAATAAAGAGAGAGAAAGAAATCCAGTCATTTTCAGTGGGTTTTTGCTGTGCCTTGAATCATGCCAGGCTTTGTATGTGAGGGGAATGACTCCCTATCCACTCTCCTTCATTGTCTTTTTTTTTTTCTTGAGATAAGGTCATATGGTCCCTGGGCAGCTAAATTGCCTTTGAACTCACATGCCTCTCATGTCAGCCTCCCCATCTATACTGGGGTTATAGATGTGTACCACCCTGCCTGCTGCCCACTTTCATCTATTTGCCTAAGATTGGGATGAATTTATAGAGAACCTGACAGCCATGGCCCAGTTTATTGCTATAGACTCAAGACTCAAGACTCCTGTCCATGCAATGTCTTTGGCCTTGTCTTACCTACTACACTGACAAGGCCAAGCATAGCATGCATGAGGCAGAACACAAAAGGAACTGTCATGAGTATAGAGACAATATTATCTGATTCTTTTAAAATTATGACATAATCATATATACAAAAGAGAACACAAAATGTGTATGTGCAATGTAAAGAAGTCTCCACAACCCAAGTTAAATATTTCCCACACCTTGGAAGCCCCTACTGACCACTTTCTAGTCTTATACCCCTCTCTATCCCCTGCTTCCTCTATCAATGAAACTTAACCACTATCCTTATTCTTGGATTTATCATTCGATTTTTAAAAAGATTTTATTACATTTTAATTTATCTACTGTGTGTATTTATGTGCACATGCACGAGTGACATGGCACATGTGTGGAGGTCAGAGGAAAACTTGTGAAAGTCAGTACACTTCTTTCACTGTGTGCTTTCTGGGATCGAACTCAGGTCATTAGTTTTAGTGGGAAGCACCTTTACCTCCTGAGTCATCTCACCAGCCCCATTTTTTAAAAGATGTATTTTATTTTTGTTTGTGTGTGTGTGCACACATGTATGTGTGTGGGTATCTTCAAGTGCCCACAGAGGCCAGAAGAGGGTGTCAGATCCCCTGCAGCTGGAGTTATAGGCAGCTGTGACATGCCTGACATGGGTGTTAGGAAGTGAACTCAGGTCCTCTGCAAGGGCATCCTCCCAGTCCCCATTTTTTTTGTTTAGATTTTTTTTGTTTTTGTTGTTTGTTTTTGTTTTTTTTTTTTTAGCTATCTGACCTGGAACTCCCTGTGTAGACCACGCTGACTTTGATCTTACAGAGATCTGCCTGCCTCTGCCTCCAAAGTGCTGAGATTAAAGGCATGGGCCATCATGCCAGGCCTCATTTATATTTTAAAAATGGTTTTATCACTCATGCATGAATTTCTAAAAATATGTATCTTGTTATTTTTGCCTACTTTTGGAATTCCCTATCATATGTATTCTTGTGTGCTTTTTTTTTAAAAAAAAGTTCAGCATTGTTTTTCTGAGATTCATTCATGGAGATGTAACTAATTCACTCATTTCACATCTATATGAGATTCCATTATATGACTATTTTGTAATAGATCCATCTATTTTTATGGGTGCCTGGTCATTTGTACCGATATGTCATTACACATTTGTCACAACTCTGCTGTGAACAGTCTTGTAAATCTCTTAGTGCCCTTGGGCAGCCACACATGCATGCTTATATAGTTGTCTCTACCTTGTGCCAAGTTCATTTGCCATTTTGGGGGGGCAAGAATGGGGGACATTACAGAGGAGTACTTTATCCACTAGAATCAAAAGGAGCCTGCACAACAGAGAATCCAGGCATGGGGCTAGAGTTTGTCTGCTTGTGACCCCTATGGCTGTTTGAGACCAAATCTGAGAGAGTAGAGGCTGAGGACAAACTAGGGTCTTGTCATATGGTAGCTGGAGGGAGTGCAGTCTGTCTATAGAAGACTCACCCTGCACTGTCCCCCAAGGATACTGCCGCACTCTCATCATCTTGTTCCCTATCTTCACTTCTTCTGTACTGCCAACCACGGCGAACGGCAGGTGGGCCTGGAACAGAAGCAAACAAACATTCAGAACTCAGGAGGAAAGGCACCGAGCATCCCCATGATGCAACTGCTGCTCACTTCCAGGTCTTTGGACCCTCCCTCTGTAATGCCATTCAGCAGCATTGAGAGGCACTGATTAAGCTCCAGAGCTCCACACCCATGCTGTACTAAGAGCCCTAGTCTTTCTTTTTCTCTTTTGTTTTGTTTTTTTCGTTTTTATTTTTTGAGAGACAGGGTCTCCCTGTAGCCCTAGTTGGCCTGGAACTTGCTATGTAGACCAGGCTGGCCTTGACCTCACAGAGACTCACCTGCCTCTGCCTCCTGAGTGCTGGGATTAAAGGCCTGTGTCCATGGCACCCAGCAAGAGGCCTAATCTTAACATCTCTATTGTAGAATTCATAGTAACATAAAACAATGACATGATCGAATACACAGGGACAGAGGAAAATAAGAATAGAAACAAGCAAACATGGACTAGAGAGCTATATTCACTAGCTGTAATTGCTGAGAAGGGAAGAGAGATGGGTGAGCATGAGAAGGGGGGGTGTATGTAGACTCTGGCATCACTGTTCCCTTCCTAGAGTATGAGAGCATGGCCTGACACCACTGACCTTGGCTGTCTTTGTTCTCTTCTTCCCCAGACAAGAGCTCATACTGACCCCTTGAGCCTAGAGGGCAAGTCACCAAGTCTTCACCCACAAGCCCTGATGGTATGCTATAAGAAACTGAAAGCAGTAGAAGGCACACTCTCTTGCCCTCTGGGAGTTTATAGTCTTGTTGGGAGAAGCCTAAATTACATACTTGAAATCCTATTAGACAATATTGACCAAGGGTAAATAGTAGGTAGTTAATAAATGCTCCTCGAATGGAGGTGGCGGGGCTATGGAAGGGAAGGGGAAAACAGGAGATGTTCAAATAGAGGCATAAGCTGGATGCTTGCAGGAGAGAAGAGGGGCAGTGACTGCAGAGGGCTAGACTGAAGGAGGAGTGAGAAAGAAAACCATACTGTATCATCTGGCATCCTGGGCTTTCAGTTCTAAGTGATGGGGGAGGATGGCATGTGAAGTAGGAGGCACTTCTCTGGGCTCAAGAAGAAAGGAGGAAAAAAGCACAAGAAATAAAGGCATTGGAAATGTCAGTCTTCCCTTAGGCCTCTTTTTTTTGGTCTTCTTTGAGACAGGGTCTCCTTGTAGCCCCAGCTGTCCTGGAACCAGGCTGGCCTCAAACTCAAAAAGATCCGCCTGCCTCTGCCTCCCAAGTGCTGGGATTAAAGGCGTGCACCACCACGCCCGGCAGGCCTCTTATTTTTATCATCAAGGGACATTGTGAGAATGACAGGGTCACTTGTTTCCTCTCTTCCTCAAACTGCTGTCATTTGATTCCTCCAGTTCCCTGCCCACTCTCAAACACATAGCCCCCACCAAACTGAATTCCAAGGCCTTGAAAGACCTCCCACAGACACTCCTTTGTAACTATCCTCAAAGACAGTTCTGGAAAGTATATGCAAGCAGATCATTTCTGAGGGCCACAAATATAAATCTTATTCATGATCAGAGGGAGCTGGGCTACAGAGCTTAAATGAGTCATGCAGGTCCCAAACATCCATGCCCAGGCCTTCAAAGGATGCAGTGAGGCCACCACACTTCAGCTGGCAGCCTTCTCCAGCCACCTAGGGTGGTCTACATTCTGTGTCCTGGCTAAATATTATCTAGTGGAAGCCAGCTAACCACAACAGGTAGGGAATCACTGGGAGCAAATTCTGACCCTACTGCTCTTGAGAGTTACATGACTATGACAATCAGGATGGAGTCAAGCTGGAGAGAGAAGTATTAACCCTCCAATCACACTACCAGATCCTATCCATGATATCCCAAATTGAGACCAAACTTTCTCCCCTACTTACTTAGGTCCTGCAGAAGGCTTAATAGATGACAATTCATACATGTGGCTTCAAGGGAGAGACTCTGATAGCTGCAAGGCAGGGTCTCTGCTGGCACATGATGGACAGGCTGCTAAAAGAAGCCAGTATGACTCTACCTAGATCTCTGATGAGGGACCCAAAGACAGATCTCCCAGACACAGAGCATTCCCATAACAGCCTCAAGCTTGTCTTGGGAGTCTGGTCTGAGATTCATTACTTAATCCATTTTGTACAGCTATAAGAAAACACCTGAGGCTGAGTAATTTATACAGAACAGAAATGGACATCTCACAGTTCTGGAGGCTAGAAATTTAAGCTCAAGGTAATGGCACATGTGGATGTCTGATGAAGAAGACCTTCTTGCTATGGTGGACAATCAAGCTAGCTAAATACTGCATGAAACATCTTTTATAAAGGCCCTTAATCTCATTAGTGAGTGAACAGACCTTATGGCCTAACCACCCACTAAAGGCCCCATCTCTCTCTCTGTCTCTTTTTTTTTTTTCAGACAGGGTCTCACTATGTAGCCCTGGTTGACCTGGAACTTGCTATGTAGACCAAGCTGGCCTGGAAATTGCTACGTAGACCAGGATGGCCTTGAATTCACAGAGATCAGCCTACTTCTACCTCCCAAGTGCTGGGATTAAAGGTGTGTGTACCATGCCTGTCTTTAGTCTTTAGAAAAAATTTCATTTTATTTTTAATTGTGTGTGTGTGTGTGTGTGTGTGTGTGTGTGTGTTGGTATATATACATATGAGTAAAGGTACCCCCAGAGGCCAGAAGAGGGTGTTGAATGCCCTAGAGCTAGGGTTACAGGTGGTAGTGAGCTACCTGATGAAGGTGCTGGGAACCAAACTGAGGTCCCCTGGAAGAACAGTATGTGCTCTTAACTGCTAAGTCATCTCTCCAGCTCCTCTTCTTTTTCAAAATCAATATTAAGAATTGAACTCAGGGCCTTGAACATGCTAGGAAAGTGCTCTGCCACTGAGCTATATATGCCCAGTTCTCTCTCTCTCTCTCTCTCTCTCTCTCTCTCTCTCTCTCTCTTTCTCTCTTTTCCTTTTTTGAGACAAGGTCTCACTATGTAGCCCAGGTGGTCTGGAACTTGCAATGTAGACTAGGCTAAATTTGAACTCTCACTAAGTTGTCCAGGCTGGCTTTGAATTCATTCTGTAGTCCAAGCAGGTCTTAAAATTGTGATTCTCCTGCCTCAGCCTCCAGGCCCTGAAAGACCCCATCTCCTAATATTGTCACATAAGCAATACTTAAATTTGCAGGCACTATATTCAAATCATAGACCTTTATGGTCTCATGTCTACCTTAAATTAACCTCTGTCCATTTTAAAGTTGTTTGATGATCCAACAGGCATGACTTATTTTATTCTTGTTTAATCACATCTACTACACTTGGGCCATTATAAGAGTTTTTTTTGGGGGGGGGTGAAATTCTATCAGGACCTTGTCTAACAATGTATGCTAGGTGGCCCTGGCCCTGGCTTCCTCCCAGGGTGCACAATGCTTCCCAGTTGTGCGGCTGGTTCTGTTTGTTCCCATTTCAGGCTTCCACTAGTGGCTGAACAAGACAATCACCTAAGTCATGCAAGTCTATCACTGGTGAGTCCCACCAAAGTAAATGGAAACATTGGAAGTACCATTGTTTCCATTCCAAGTATTGGGGGAAGATATGGCCTTGTGCCTGTGGACCTCCCTGTGATCCAACTTGCCAGCCCTGTGCTCTTCTCACTGGGCAGAGATATGATGTCTTTGTGGGAATCAAGTCCAGTGCCTCACAAATGGTCAATCAATTGAACATAGTCAAGTTAACTGGCCCTGTTCTTTAGTCTCTGTTTTTCTGTTCAAAGAACAACAATAAATTTATTTTTTTTTTGGATACAGGGTTTCATGTAGTCCAGAATGTCCTCCTACTCACTATGTTGCTGAAGATGACCTTAACTTCTGATCTTCTTGCCTCTCCATCCCAGATATTGGGATTATAAGTGTGTGCCACCATACTGGACCAACAACATTGCATTTTTTTTGGTCTTTTTGAGACAGGATCTCCCTGTAACCCCAGCTGTCCTGGAACTCACTATGTAGACCAGGCTGGCCTGGAACTCATAGAGACCCACCTGCCTCTGCCTCCCGAGTGCTGGGACTAAATGCCTGTGCCACCACGGCCAGCTAACAACATTACATTTAAACAATATGCCGGGTATGGTAGCTCAGGCCTACAATCCCAGCAACTGTGAAGCTGAAGCAGGAAGGTCATGAGTTCAAAGCCAGCCTGGGCTACACAGTGAGGCCCTGTCTCAAAATTAATTAATTAATTAATTAATTAAAACACGGTAGCAATTTTGAGAATTTAGATCAGAGCATGGGTTGAAAGCAGCATGCAACAAGATCTCTCCCTCTCCTGCCCCCTCTCCTGCCCCCTCTCCTGCCCCCTCGATCTGAAGCCATCTAGACCCATCTAAATGCTAATGGTGAGACTGAGCATGATTGTCCATGAAAATCCCTTGTTGGAAGTAACAAGGCAGCTGATAGCCTTCTCTGCTGAGGGAAGAAATTTCTCCTTCTTCTAGTTCCCACTACAGCTTGCTAGGGGGTGGGCAGGGCTGGATCAAATCCAGGATCAAAAGGCCAGTACCCAGTATTCATAGCACCCAACTTGCCCTCCACAATGCCACTGCATAGATCATGGTTTGTCTGGACACTCTGGAGACTTTTGACACAGTTGTAGTGGTGGCAGGTAGGCTAAGCAGCACCGTGTTTGTTATAGCAGTGATTTCTCCTGTTCCCCAATACAGTATATGGGACACCGAGGATTCCCACAGCCCTTCCCACAGACATGTCTAGTTCCAGGTATACTAGCTCTCAGGCACCATGTCTCTTCCCTTCCCATTCAAAAGAGTATGGGGGAATGCAGGGTAATGAATAGTGAGCAATACTACTTAGAGGGATAAGGCTAAATCTACCAGATTTAATTTTTGTTTTCTTGGCAACAAAGTCTTTATAAACAAGGCCCAGGATGGCCTCAAACTTGTCATCCTCTTGCCCCAGTGCTGGGATCACAGACGTGCATCCAGCTTCAAGTTTAGTTGTTCAAAGTGAAACACTGACAAACTTTGGGCTCTAACGACGGGTTCATAATCTCCTTACAGTCATAATAGCATGGTGGAGAACTACTGCTTCAAAATATGGGAAGATTCTAACTCAGCTGTCCTAGGAGGCCATAGCTAAGCTGAGAAGAGAGAGGATGGTTGTCATGTCTAACCCACAATGCCGTGACAGTTTGGTAGGACACCTTCAGATTGCAGAAAAAAAAATCATACTTTCTATTTGTTCTTAGCAAAGCAAGCCACAAGACTGAACTGAACACTGCTCTATGACTCAGGGAATCAGTCTGGAAGATGTCTACAGGGACCTAAGTGACTAGATGCTTCCAGACATTGGTGCCAGCATCACCCAGAGAGTGCTTCCTTCTAGGTCCCCATTTTTTCTACAGACTGAGCACCTTTTCCAGCTTCCTCATCAAAACAGAACCTTATTTCCATCAAAATTTTCTGATTCCTGGAAAGGACAGCACTAATAGCTTTTAAATTTCTGTCCATGCCCATAGCAGATCACAGAGGCCATAGCTCCACCTACCACAAGGCCTTATCCTTGAGCCAGACTTGTCAAAGACAATGGAGAACTTCCACTAACAAACCTATTTTGGGTGGGCTGGCTGATGGGCAGGACATCAGATGAGACAGTGACTTGCTGCCCAGCTATGCTAATTTGTTGGCCAATTCACAAGAGGTGGCAGCTGATGGTGTAATGATAGAGGGCACCCAGCAGCAGGAAAAGTTTTCTAAAAATGGCTTTCATTATAAGGCTTTCCTGCGTTTGGCTGTCCCCAGGCATTATGTCATTAGGAAAAACTGATGCCTCTCAATAGAGAAAAAGAAATCTGTTCCCGAAGCAGAGGCTTTCTGAAAGCTATTAGCTGTCTCCTGGAAATCACAACATTGAAGCTTTCACAGCAACAGCATCAACACATTGTAAAGAAGCAGGAGGAGTGTTTGACTCTCTGCCTTCTTTATTACTCATTCCTCTAGTGGGGGGAAGGTGGGGGGAGGAGAGAAAAGAGGACTCCTTTTTAAAAATTCATTCACACTTAATAAAGCAAAGCATAGTCCTGATACTTAAAAATAACATCACTGTAGCTGCTGACAAAAATTGGAGGCTATTTCTCATTGTTATGACAGGGCTTGACTCTCTGACAACAGCCCATCCACCCCTGAGTCTCTGAGGCCAGCCAACTTTTTCAGCTTCTCTTTCTTTTGCTGCACCCATTATCTTGGCATTGTTTAGGGGTCAGAGACAAAGATGGTTTGCCTTTCTTGCCATCCTGTCACAGAAGCTGCTTGGCTTAGATCTGAGGGGCCTTAAGAAGGTAGGCTGAGGGGCTGGAGAGATGGCTCAGCGGTTAAGAACACTGGCTGTTCTTGCAGAAGACCGGGGTTCAAATCCCAGCACCCACATGGCAGCTAACGACTCTCTGTAACTCCAGTACCAGGGGATCCAACAGCCTCTTTTGACCTCCGCAGGCACTGCATGACATGGGTGCACTTACCTACATGCAGGCAATACGCGCATACACATAAAATAAAAAAATAAAAAATTTTAAAAAGTTAAAAAAAAAGGTGGGTTGAGGCCTGGAGAGGTGGCACAGTGGATAAAGTGCTTTCCTGGCAATCTTGAAGACTGGGGTTTGGATCCCCAGCATCCACATAAAAGTTGGCCAGGTGGGGTAGCTTCCTGTAATACAGTGCTCAAGGGATAGAAACAGGCAATCCCCAGAGCAAGATAGCTAGGTAAACTACCAGGTATTAGTGAGTTCCAATTTCTGTTTGAGACCCTGCCTCAATAAACACAATGTAGACTAGTGATCAAGAAAGACACCAGACATCAACCTCGTGCTTTTACACACCCTCTCGTATACATGCACATGCGTGTATCCACACATGTGAATAACACACACGCACATACACACACACACACACACACACACACACACACACAGAGAGAGAGAGAGAGAGAGAGGGTTGAAGGAGAGGTCTGAATTCTCTGCTCTACACACACAGCCTGGGATCAGCCTTTCTCTTTCGCTGGTTACTAATCTTTGTCTCTGAGGCTTTCTAACAGCCATCATTGAAAACAGGAGCTATTTTGGTTTTAGATCCTCTGTCACCAATACTTGAGACTCCGGTAATCAAGAGTCAAGAAGGCTGATGACTAAGAAGGCTGATGATGGTACTTTACTGCTGCTGTGTCAAAGATGGATCATAAGGGTACATGACTAGAAAGTTGAACCTTGTACTCCCACTCACGTTCATGGTTCCGTTGATCTCTGCCACGGATTCATCATCTGTGGGGAACTGATAGATCTGGACCCCATTGCTCACAAGTTCGCTGGTGATTTTGATCTTGAACTTTGATAGCTCACTCTTAGAAATGGCATCTGATTTGGCAATGATGGGGATGATGTTCACCTAGGGAAAGAAGGAACAAAGTGGGATCACTGTTGGTAACTGGCAACTGATACCTGCATGGCTTCGGACTCCCACCAGTTCCTAGAGTAGGCAGCTTGGTCCACTTGTCTAACACTGACCACCTCTAGCCAAAAAACAATATAATAAACAATAATGAGGCTGGTGTGATGGCTCAGTGGTTAGGAATGCATACTGCTCAACTGGGTTCCCAGCACCCACATCAGGTGCCTCACAACCATCTGTAACTCCAGATCCAGAGGATCCATGTGATGCCTTCTTTTGGCCTCCAAGGTCACCTGCACTCAAATGTACTGTACGTATTCACATCCAAACACACACATAAACATAATCAAAAATTTAAAAGTCTTTGGGCTGGAGAGATTGCTCAGTGGTTAAGAGCATGTACTGATCTTACAGACCAGAGTTCAGTTCCTAGCACCCATGTCAGACAGCTCACAACTGCCTGTAACTCTAGCTCCAAGGGAGTCAATGTTTCTGACTTCTGCAGGTACCTATACTCGCATGTACATACCCCCCCACAAACACACACACATACAATAAAAAATAATAAAAATAAGTATTAAAAAATAGTTAGGGCTGGAGAGATGGTTCAGTAGTTAAGAGCACTGGCTGCTCTTGCAGAAGACCTAGGTTCGCTTCCTAGCACCTACATGTCAGCTAACAACTGTCTGTAACTCCAGTTCCAGGGGATCTTGTGCCTTCCTCTGACCTCTATAGGCATTGGACAACACAGGTGCACTTACACACATGCAGGCAATACACTCCTACACATAAAATAATTCTTTAAAAAAATATGATTAATACATACTATGTGCTGAGCACAGAACCAAGTACCCTATATGGCTTAACATAATTAATCTTAACACTAACTTTCCCAGAAGGTATTATTACTACTATTTTACCAATGTGAAACTGAACCACACAGAGGTTAAGTAACTTGTCCAGTGCTACAGGACAGCTAAGTAGAACCTGGATTCAAATCAATGTTCATTTTTTAATTTTTTTAATTTTCTGGTCTTTTTGAGACAAGGGAGTCTCCCTGTAGTCCCAGCTTACCTGGAACTTGCTATGTAGACCAGACTGGCCTCAAACTCACAGAGATCCACCTGCCTCTGCATCCCAAGTGCTGGGATTAAAGGTGTGTGCCACCATGCTGGGCCTCAATGTTAATCTTATTCTTAAGGCTGTAGTATTAACCATGAGCTATCTACCAGTTCAGATTCTCAGTTGATGAGCAGCATGATATCTTGGAATCAAGGTCACTGCTGGGGTGATTCAGAGAAGAAAGATGACAGCTGACAATCTGTGGTTGGCAAAGTGACAGGTGGATACTCCTTGGTAAGTTGTCCCAACTCATCCAGTCTAGGTTAGCCTAAGCCAGGTGTGACAAAGATTCACATGGGAGATGGCAGGGAAAGGAAGTAGGGACAGAACTCAGCAAGGATGAACACCTGACTCTCTTACCTGTTAAGTACAGAAGACCCCCTGTTACGAATTTGATGGGAGACCTATGCAAAAGAGTTATACTGGGGCTGGGGATGCAGCTCAGTTGGTAGCGTGCTTGCCTAGCATATACAAGTCCCTGGGTTTGATCCCCAGCACCACATAAAAGCATGCATAGTGGTGCACACCTGTAATCTCAGTACTCGGGAAGTGATGGCAGAAAGATCAGTTCATGGTCATTCTCAGCTACATAGTGGGTTTGAGGCCAGTCTGGGCTACATGAGTCTGTGTCCTAATCTCCTTCCCGTTTTACACACACAAAGAGTTATAATAATTTACTCTTATGGTTTATTTTTTGGTAAAGAAAGCAAGCATAAATGTTCAATTTCAAATAGCAGGAGAAAGGCCTAGTGCCACCCCAAAGTCCAACCTACCTGAACTTTGATCCTTAAAATCCCTCCATGAAAAGGGAAGGCTTTTCTTGTCAAAGGTAAAGAAATTTATGAGTGCATGGTTTGGGAGACAGAGCACAGCTAAGGTTCCTATGCTCAGGTTCCTATGAAGAACATAGTTGTTCTTGCAAGCAGATTCCAATGGGGTTGCATGAATGGAGCTCAGGCTCTAGGTCCTGAAAGGAGGGTCTGGGAGCTCTAAAAATGAAGAAGTCCTATCTCTTTTGCAGGTTAGGAGTCCTCTAAATGCTCATACCAGACAGAGCTTTGGATGCTGGTCAAAGACTAGACCTTTCAGATAGATCACATAAAGACTTTGGGGGATCAAGAGATCAGAGTCTTTGCCAAGGTGGAACATCAGGCAAAGCCAATTCTCTTTGTCTTTTTTTTTTTGCCAAGTTCTCATTGGTACACAATAAACATATGCCAAAAGCTGTGTTACTTAATGCAGCCCACCCACTGGACTGCCCACCACATGGCTCACTGCTGCCCTACACAGGGGCATGCTGGCCATGGTGATGCTTCAAGAGCAGCCTATTATTCATGAGCAGTGATCTCATTACTGCAAAAATGGAAAAATTGCTCCTATTCTGATTATCGCTGACATTCAGTTTTTAAAAAATATTTTATTTATTTTTATTTTATGTGTATGTGTGTATTGCCTGCATGTAGGTAAGTGCACCCGTGTCATGCAATGCCTGCGGAGGACAGAAGAGACTGTCGGATCCCCTGGAACTGGAATTATGGACAGTTGTTAGCTGCCATGTGGGTGCTGGGATTTGAACCTGGGTCTTCTGCAAGAACAGTCAGTGTTCTTAACCACTGAGCCATCGCTCCAGCTCCCAACATTCAGTTTTTATAGTGGATATGCTACCAAATGACTACATGTAAATTGGAATTTTGTATGATAAAATATCTTGCAGTTAGAAATTAGTCCAAATCCCAGATCCATTACAAGCTGTCTGACCTTGAGCGAGCTCTGTGTCTCAGTTAACTCATATGTAAAATGGGAATGATAACAGCATCAAGATACAGAGCTTATTAGAGGGATAAAATAAGGCTGGGGAGATGGCTCAGTAATTAAGCACTTACTGTGTAAGTATGAGGACTGAAATTTGGACCCCTAGAACCCATTTGAATGCTGAATGTGTAGGGTGGCCCACCTGTAATTCAGCCTTGGAAGGCAGAGACAGGATCCCCAGAGCAAGATGGTTACTGAGACTAGCCATATCAGCTAGTTCTGAGTTTCACTGAGGGACTCTGCCTCGTTGCATAAGATGGAAGAGCAATGACCAATGATGATTTCTGATATCAACCTCAGGCCTCCATATTCACCATCGCTCTCATGTATGCATACCCACGTATTATGTGCCCCCACACATTCAAACATGCATACACACACACAACACCACACACATAGAGACACATAGACACAGACACACACACACAGAGAAGGACAAAATAACACATTAAGTACTTATCACAGTGTGTGACACACATCAAATGTTAGGGGGAAAGATGGTAGTAATTAGACTTTTTAAACAATCCTGTGGTCAACTTGTTTAACTTTATTTATTTATTTATTTATTTTTGTGGTGCTAGGGACTGAACCCAGGGTCTTGCACATGCCAGTCAAGTGCTCTATCATTAAGCTATATTCTCATCCCAATATTAGTTTGCATTGCAAATAATCCTTTAACATAAAGAATTACTGTCTAATTTATGTATGGTATGAGATACTAGTTTGTATAATATGGAAATGCCTGATTACCTTAGCCATCTTTCTTAGCCATGGAGACAGAATGGTGTCACAAATAAGGGTTCTAATCTAGGCACTACCAGTAGCAAGCTAAATTACAATAAGATGGTTATGTAACCTCTCAGAGCCTCAGTTTCTCTTCTTTGAAATGGAGGTGACGGGGCTGGAGAGATGGCTCAATGGTTAAGACACTGGCTGTTCTTGTAGAAGACCCTGGTTTGAATCCCAGCACCCAATTGCAGCTAACAACTGTCTGTAACTCCAGTTCCAGGGGATCCAGCAGCCTCTTCTGTCCTCCTTGGGCATTGCAAAACACAGGTGCACTTACCTACATGCAGGCAATACATGAATACACATAAAATAAAAATAATAAATAAAATGTTTTTAAAAAAAAGATGGAGGTGACAACAGTTTATCTCACAGGGTTGTGTGGATTTAAGGCATTTAGCTTAGTGGTGGCATATAATGAGAGTTTAACAAATGTTATCATAAAAGAAATTACCTGAGCCTGGAAGATGACTCAGTTAAGTGCTTGCTATACAAACATCAGGACTGAACTTGATCCCCAGTACCCATGTAAAATGCTAGGCATAGAGTCAAGCACTTGTAATTGAGGAGGCAGAGACAGTAGGATGACTGGGGCTTGTCAGTCACCCAGCCTAGCCTAATTGTCAAGTCCCAAGTTTCAGTGAGAAACCTTGTCTCAAAAAAACAAGGTAGAAAGTTCCTGAGGAACAACACCCAAGATTGACCTCTGACTTCTATATGCATAGGCACACATGTACAACAAATATAAATACACACATACATTATCAATAATAACTTTCAAAGTCCACTTTTCACATCTGATTCTGGCACAGGCCAGTTAATATTGGGCTAAAGAAAAACAACTTTTCATTGCCAAAACTTGCAGCCTTAGACTTGGACAGTCATCTTGCTTGAATCCATCCTTCTCTCCAAGAAGGATCAGGATAGGACAGCTCAGGACCCCAATGACAGATGACAGAATCCAGATGACAAATCATACAACACAGATGCTGGATCAGTAACCATCTTTAGGGATGGAAGGGAACGAGGGAATGGATCAGAATGCCACAAAACTTCTTCTAGAAACCAACATCTACTGTGTATTAGATCAGTACATGAGAGTCCAGCTTGCCCAGCCCCAGCTCCTGTCTCCATACCTTACTATCCAGTTTCTTCATGGTCACTAGGTCCAAAGACTTCAGTGAATGCCCTGTAGGGGCAATGAAGTACAAGCAGACATGGATTCGGGAGTCATGGTAGGAATGCAGCACTCTCCGAATCTTCAGCTCCTCCTGCAGGTAGGCCTCAAACTGAGCATCGATGAAATCCACAATGGGCTTGTAGCTAGAGGGGAGAGTGGGAAAACGGCTTCAAACATTTGCCTTTTGACTTAATCCCACTGCTAAGTTACCTATGCTCCCATAACTAACCCCTTACCCATGCACCTGAAAGCAACCTTAATTAAACTCATTGGTTCACACACACAAAAGTCATAATATGTATAAGTAAAAGAGAGAGCTGGAAAGATGGCTTGGTGGGTAAAGACAGCTGCTGCCAAGCGTGAGGACCCGAGTTTGGTTCCTGGGGCCCACATGATGGAAGATTAAAATTGACTCCTGCAGTTCTCTGACCTCCACACATGCACCATGGCATGCATTACACACACACACACACACACACACACACATAAATAAATAAATATAATTTTACGAAGCCCTGTACTTACAAAAAAAATGTAGTCAAGAGACTAGCTGGGAAGAGGGGATGTGTGGGAATAGGTAATAGGGGGAAATATAATCTAAATACACTATATAAATGAAAATTTTTACAATAAACCCCAAATTATGCATAATTAATATTTTCTAATTTTTAAAAACTTTAAAAAATTAATTAATTCTGTGTATATGAGTGCTTTGTCTGTGTATATAAATGGGCCACATGAATGCAATGCCTATAGAGACCCAGAAAAGGGGGTCAGAGTCCCTGGAACTGGAATTACAGATGTTTGTTAGCTTCCATGTGGGTGCTGGGAACTGAACCTGGGTTCTCTGGAAGACCAACCAGTGCTCTTAACCACTCAGCCATTTCTCTGGGCCTCTTTAAAAAAAAACTTTAAAAAAAGTCACCTCTTTCTTCCTTTCTGAACTGGGGCTCCCTGGAAAATTTCCCTTTCTCCCTGGCCCTGTCTCCACCAAGGCCATCCTGATTGCCCCAACAGCTTTTTTTTTTTTATCTTTTTTGAGACAGGGCCACCCTATAGCCTCAACTGGCCTGGAGCTCGCTATGTAGACCAGGCTGACTTGAACTCAGAAATCCATCTGCCTCTGCCTCCCGAGTGCTGGGATCAAAGGCGTGTGCCACCATGCCCAGCAACTTATTTCTTCTTTAAAAATACATTTATTTATTGTGCATGTGCGTGGGTGATCATGCCATGGCATGGGTGAGGAAATCAGGTGGCAACCTATGTGCATCAATTCTCTCTTTTCCCTACGTGACACCCAGGGATTGAACTCAGGTCATGAGGTTGGTGGCAAGCACCTTTGCTCGCTGAGCCATCTTGTGAGCCCCCTGACATTCTCTTTTTGCTCTAACTAGGTCATTTCCACTTCAGTCCTACCTCTCTTTTCATCTCCTCAGTCTGCATGCTGCCTCTCCAATGGAGGGGCTGCCTCCCTTCAGGGAAAAAGAAGTTCATTCTCTCAGCCCAGGGCAGGGAGTTTTCAGATTCCACTACCAGAAAAGAATATGATCAAAGGAAGAAGTGAGCCCATCCAACACCTCCCACCTGCAACAGCTCCCAATCTGAGCCTCTGTGAAAGAGCCCCCTAGGAGAGAGGAAAGCAGCATTTTAAAAAAGAACCACAGAATCCTGCATTCCAAGAGCTACATACAGCAAGAGACCCAGGTGCAGGGTATCTCTGGCACCCCAAAGAAGAATCTAAGAATATAGTCCTTTCTTTATTCCTTTGATCCCTCTGAGCCAACACTGTTCTGAAGGGCAATAGCATCGAATGATCACTTGGCAGCAAGGAGTCTTAGAAGGTTCCTGAAGAATTTAGAGTGAGGGTGGAGGATGCATCCTTTAGACTTAGCTAATTTTTAGATGGTTGGCTGGTTTGAATTATTTGATCATAGCATGGCTTTATGTTTTTCTCTATCATATAACCTTTTTATCTCATGTTTTGCTGTGGAAAAAGGAATGGAGGAAAGAAAAAAGAAACTTTTTCTTAGCTTCCTGCCCCCTTGAATCTTTGAGTGATACCCAGTGTTCATCTTAGTGGCAACTCTCAGAGTCTCTGATGAGGTGCATGGATCAGACCAGCCAAACCAGACAGTCAGCCAACAGGATCTGGTTTAGAAGCATCTGAAAGATGGGTGACTCATCTTTGTCTCTGTCAGCTTTGTATCGCCAGTGTCTGGCTTGCTGTCTGGAATATAAGAAAGGTTCTACCCATTGTTCTGTGTTCTCTCACCTCTGCCCCCATGGATGAGCTTTCCACAGGTGGCCATCTCTGCTCCACACTTTGCTATGTTTACTGAACTCTACTTTGTAAGAAACAAAATCCTTATTTCAATAAATCTTTATTTCAGCCTTACCAACTGCTTCCTTCTTTGAGGTGATGCCTGACTGTCCCTTAGGCACTGCTTTGCTCACATCCCTCTTGAGGAAGCTTCTACTCATCCCTCACCCTAGTTCCATGGAGGCCTGCAGATGACAGCTTTCTTCTAGCACTTCCTTCCCTAGCAGACTCTACCCCTCCTCATCACTACAATTAACCTTTTAAGGCAGCAAGTTCTAGATTTTTAAAAAGATTTTTTTAATGTTTTAATTATGTGTATGTGTGTAAGGCAGCAAGTTCTAGATTTTTAAAAAGATTTTTTTAATGTTTTAATTATGTGTATGTGTGTGCATCTGTGTATGGGTATGTGCACATGAGTGCAGTGCCTGTGGAGACCAGAAGACAGAGTCAGATCCACTGGAGCTGGAGTTACAGAGTTAAAGCCTGTTGTGAGCCACCCAACATGGGTGTGGGGAACTGAACTTTGGTCCAATACAAGAGCGGTACACTTGGTCTCGACTGCCGAGCCATCTCTCCAGGGGCCAAGTTCTAGACAAATATGGACTAGCCATACATTCTTGATGTGGAGTCTGGGGACTTTCAAGAGGTTTGTGGACAGAATTCACAGGATCTATGAATTTGGATAGGAACAAAATACATCTTCATCACACATCTCTAACTGAAGGTTAGCAGTTTCTTCCATTATAAACTGAGGCAGAAATCTATAGCACCCTTTGCAGCACATGCGATTTTTCTATACAGGCGAGAAATCACTCATATTTTCCTTTTCTAGTCCAGTGGTTGATAATATCTCAAAATAGCATTTATGCTCACCATAGCTTCTGCACTCTGATAATTATTAAATCTGAAAATAGATATTGTTATTTCAGGAATTAACAGAGAAGCAGATGGGTTACTAAATCATGCTTTTAAAATATTTTGGTAACTATTTTTAGTATAATTGGTACATTTTAGGCATTCAAAACATATTTTGAAAAGAGGGTATAGGCCACAGTAGCTTACTAAAGGTGCCAATGGTCTGCACTCTTCTTCATGGGACATATGGAAGTTCACGATAAGACACTACCATAGGGTACTGGAAAAGGAGGTACTGGGAGTTCAGCTACAGTTATAACATGGCCACCGGCAACTTCTCTGACGGTATGATATCTAGGCTGCAAGAGTGAGTATCACACAGCCACAGAGAGATCCAGGAGAAAGGCATTCCAAGCAGCAAGAGCGACAAATATAATAATGATCTTGAAGCAGAAACCAGCCTGAAAACTAAGCAACAGGAGAGAGGACAGGGAGCTATGATTTAGTGAATGAAGGAGAAATAATAAGCTATTCATAAGAGCTACATGGCAGAAACATCCACACATCTACCAAATGATGACCACATAAAGAAAATGTGGGCTACAATACAATGTGGGATACAATAGAATATCTTCAGCTATGAAAAGATATTCTGGGGTTGGAGAGATAGCTCAGTGGTTAGGAGCAGTGGCTGTTCTTGCAGAGGACCTGGGTTCAGTTCCTAGCACCCATGTGGTGGTTAATAACCATCAATATGTCCAGTTCTAGGGGATCTGACGCCCTCTACAGGCATTGCATGACATGGGTGCACTTACATACATGCAGGCAAAATAATACACATAAAATAAAAGTAAGTAAAAATTAAAAAATAAATTCTGATAAATGCCACCACATGAATGAAAGTTGATGACATATGAAAAGTTAAAGAAAGTCACGTTGACAGGGCTGGGAGTAGAGCTCACTGGTGGAGAACCTACATAACATATGTCAGGCCCTGGGTTCAAGCCCCAGCACTGCAAAAAATGGTGGGAGGAAAGGAAGGTAAGAAAAAGGAAGGAAGGCATGCATAAACAAACACCATATGATTTCAGTTATATGAGGTACCTAAAACAATGAAATTCAAAGACATAAAATCGACAGTGGTTAGCAGGGATGGGATGAGGGAAGAATGGGAAGCTATTTAATGATTTTCCATTTGGGGTGAGGAAAATGCTTCGGAACTAGATAGAGGTGATAGTTGAACAACAGATAGTGGTAGTGGTTGTCAATGTATTAAATGCTCCTGGATCATTCATCTGAAATGGTTACTGTTCTGGGATGGCAGCATATGTTTGTAATCCTGGCACTCAGGAAGCAGAAGCAGAAGAGTTACATGCTCAAGACCAGCCTGCCCTATATGTTGAGTTCTAGGCCAGTCAGGGCTACATAGCAAGCAAGCAAGCTCTCTGTCTCTTTCTCTGTGTGTCTCTAGCTGTCTGTCTCTCTGTCTCTGTCTCTCTCTCTCTCTCTGCATAAAGTAAGCAGTCTTACTCCACTACACGTCCCTCCATGGTATTGTGTCTTACCACAGGCCCCAAAGCAACAGAGCCAGCAGGTCATGGACTGAAACCTCTAAAACTGTGAGCCAACAAACTTTTCCTCCTTCTTAGTTGATTTTCTCAGGTAGTTTGTCACAGTGATGGGAAGCTGACTAATATAATGTATAAAAATATTAATTTTTACTTCTCAATCAGTATTTTTAAATTGTCATATTCTTGATGTTGACCAGTTCATGTTTTAAACACTACCCCTTGACTTTGCTGACACCATCATCACCTACCTCTGTGGCTCTTCTTTCTCATATACTTCAGCTAAACCCTTGGCTTGTTTCTGAGATGGCTCCATTCAGACCATCTTCTGTTGTCATTCTGCACACTCCATGCACCTGTTCCTTGGGTGTTCTCACTCACTCACTCTCATGGCCTCGGA